AATTATAATTAGTGAGTTAGTTTCACGTTTTATTATAAATCCATTTGGAAGAGTCGCAATTGTAAACTGCACCGAATGCTTTATATAAGCTTTAGGCCAATTACGTAATTGTTTTTGTCGATTAACAAGGCCCCCATTGTTCAACGCTCCTATCCACTTTAAGAACAATCCGACGTCACGTAACGAATTTAATTGCAGCCAATGGCGAGGAAACGTTTCCTACGACTCGCTGATCTAAAAATAGACATATTTATTATATATATATCTATAGTTTTGCAAAACAAAAAATTACAGATATCATGTGTACTTAGTGCACGACATAAATGTCACGAAAATTAAATTTCCTTTCCATTTGCAACACGACACAACGGTATTATAAGTATTTCCAAAAAAATCATCTTATTGTTTTATATACAATTTTTTACGAAATTATAAGAATTTTCGTTTTTTTTAATTATTACATGAATTTAATTGGTTAATTACGAAAAATTCATCTCAAATTGATTGAAGATTTCGTCTAATTATTTTATAATTAATAACTAATAATTTTGTAAAAAAATCTCATAATTATATACGATTTATTCATAAAATCAAATAATAATTAAACTAATTATTGCATGAATGTTATTCAATAAATTACATTTCATTTAATTCGCATTCTTAATGGTAAGAAAAAAACGAAAATTATAATTTCCATATTGATATATGATTTCTTCGTGCAAAGATCAAACAATTGTAATAATAATAATTCACAGTTCGTTCGTTGCGAACTGAGAGAAAATGGACTTTCACAATTAAGAAGCTGAAAGAAACAGATCGTAAAGTAATTACGGATCTCCTGCAGCTTTAATTGCTGCGACGACAGAACGGAATTTCGCGCGAATTTCTAAAAACCGATTGAAGAAAATCTAGCGCTAACGATTTTATGTAACGGCGCCGTCTCCGTAATTCAATTAATTAACACTCGGCCTTTTGTTGAAGTCGAGACTAAGTAACTAATAAATATGATAATAATAATTTATAATTGTACAAAAGTGAAATTGAAAGTATAATTTCATTATAAGTTTATTGTATCTATGAGTTTAATTATATAATGATATAAAAACACGTGGAATAAATAGAAATTATTATGATGACTATGGTAAATATTATGAAGAATTAGACAAACAACTAATGGTATTTCTTACAGTATATTGCAGCTGCAAGATTGTGATAAGAAAATGTAACAGATCTGAAGTAATCATCCAAAATTAGCTCGATGAATTTCAATAAAGCGTGGTAATAAATCGCGATCGAAGGAAGAGGATGCATGCATTCACGGTTCTTCGGCTAATTGGATTACGTCATTTTGCCGCTCGAAAATAGGGAAAAAAATTCTATAAATATGAAACCGATGTTCACGGTGTCCAACACAATATGTGGAGTAAATGAAATTTTTGCGGCGTTATTCACGGTTGATGGCTTCGTGTAAAAATATTCCAGTTCATCGAGTCTAATCGCTTCCACAGTTTCACTCTGATACGTCCTATGGTATTAGCATTAGCTGTTTAGCATTTTCAGGAAAGATGACGAAAATGTGTTGTTTTTCAGTAAAAACCATGTTCACTCACGTGTTTGCAGAAAATAAAATTAAGAGAGAGAAAATGTACGCGATCGTTGCGTAACAGTAACTTGGTCGAGGCCGCTTCCTTTCGTGATGGCAGAGATTAAGAAACCCGGAGGATTCTTTCTTTTGTCGTAATCGGATGTAAAAGGATACAGTTAATTTGCGGGAATATTGAAATTGCGATGATGGAAAACGTGCGTTCGCATTTTGCTTCCGGAATCACCGCTTCATTTCGCTTTTTCTTCCTCCGGTAATTTGATCACTTTTCCCATTGTACGACTGACTCGAAATTAGCCGCGTACACTTACATCACACACTTAATTAAAAGCTCGTACATTCCTTTTTACAACAATAGCAATGATGGATTTTCTAAAATTTAAAAAAAAAGTTCTTTTCACTTCAATCCATTCTTCCGAACAGGAAATGAATATTTCCTCTTCGTTAAAATCAACATTAATATAATATTAAAAAAAACTTCATTCAGTAATTAATTACATAATCTATTAGAAGATTTTCTTCAGAATTTCCAAATCTAAATTATTTAATTTTAAACTTCAATAATATTTAAGGTCTTCTTTACAAAATAATATCATAAGAAAGAAACATTTTCATTCTAATTTATATAGTAATTACATTTGTTTGAATTAGTGGACAATTTTTAATTATTTTTAATAAACAATTATTTAAAATCAAGAATAAGTTATGGTAACAATTGATTGTAAGTTTTTTTTTTATAAGGAAATAAAAATAATTTATTAAACAACTTCAATATTAATGTCAAAAAATGTATAATGTTATAGGTTAGATCACAAAATGTTGAGTTGAAAAAATGTCAAAAATTATAGCAGCTGTCAAATCAAATTACTAAAATTATACTTATCAACTCATGTATTCCTAATACATTTTTTCTCTATTGTTATGAAAGAATGGTAGTACTTACTAATTGTTATTACATTCATACATAATTCGAAGTAAACGAGCTTTCTTTTATTGATTTACAACTAAAAAGAAACATTCTACAAGTTATTTAATCTCTCTCTAATAACGTAGACGTAACGAGAAACCTGCAGAGGCTATTACATCCGAACTGCATTTTAACAGTTAGAAAGGGAAAAGTGTACGTGCCTGGTCGGTATATACTAAAATTGCACGAACGACGGGGTAATAATTCATAAAAGAAAAGTTGAAAGTTTGAGTCGTCAAATTTCATCGTCTTGGAAAGTGAAGAACATTCGCACTTAGTTAAGATCTTGTTACGTTATTCGCTTGCCAAGTGAAACCTGGTCAATTCCTACCGCACAAATATAATAACGATTCTGTTTCGAAATGTACGTTTCTAGCTGCGTTTTCTCCTGTAATTAATCATAGCCACAACTGCTAATGAGGATCAACAAAATATTACAAAAAAAAACAGCTAAATAATTAATATAAACTCTTGCAATTAAAGGCGAGAAACGAATTACATTTCATTTTAAAGGTGTGTGATTTCGAACGGTTTAACGGTCGCTTCTTTTGTTTTAATCGGATCCGGATTTAAATAAAGCGAACTGTATTCTTTTCTTAATTGGGCCTAAATTTTTGTATATTATTATTTTTAGTAATTGATGAAATACTTACTTTTATATACTAAAATTTACGTTTTCACCTATTAAATTGATAACGTTTTTTTTTTGTAAAAGTTGTGGAAAGATTTTCTCATTGTGGATAGAATTATTTAATTTTATTCAAATTGTTGTAACGTAAATCAAAATTGAGTTCCGCACTGATCTAATTCCCTTAGAAATGATGGAAGTAATTGTGAAGTCTGTAGTAACCGAGAAAAACAAACTATTTACATGTGAATAAAGTGATTAATCTTCGTCAAATGGACAAGTTGATTATTTTTGTCAATCAACTATAAATGCATTTCTTTCATGCTTAGATCAATTAATGTCTAGTATTTTCAAGTTGTAGTTAACTTTTAATCAGATTTGGATTAATTTGTAGCAATAATGCAAATGTTTAATTTATTTTTATTCCATACTTTGCCTATCATAAAACAAACATATCTGTCAGGTGTACCAATCAAAACGTACGTTGACACTGACACTGAAGTGACAGCTGACATATGTATATAGTATATAGTTGTTGTGTATTGTCTACAAAAGAACAAATACGTTTTGTATTAATTTTGAAAGCATAGCAATTACACAATTCGCTAATGCTGTTAATTACTACTATTTAATTATGTTTTCTGTCTTATTAAGTAGCACATTTTTACTAAGTAATTGAAATTTTCTGAGATCTGCTATATTATTTTCTAATTAGTACCAATTTTTCTTATATAAGTTTTCAAAATATATTTTTTTAAATGTAAATGTCAATTACTCTCTTAGTTAATCGAAGAGGTTGTAAAGACTAGAAATCGTATTACTTGCTAATTAAATTAACAAACAAAACCAGCCATGCAATCGGTCAAAGTACTTACGCATCATTTAAGTTAGTACACATGTGATCACATTTGACATTTGAAAATATTAAATAAAACTTCTCAGCATAAATATTCTAAGTAAAGAAGTTTAAGTCAATTAAAATACTATTATAGTAAGTAGTATTGTTTGTATTTGTTGAGGAGTTTCGCTTCAAACATTTGATGAATGCGTATGACACAGTTAAGACTTGTTACATTAATAAATTGAGTACGTTGTAATAGTAGTAGTACATATTTTAGATAGATTTCTCAACAAATTAAAAATTATTCAAAATATAGTTTGAAGACAACTATTTTTTTTTTATAAATTTTTGTACAAAAAACAAACATATTTTAACAGAGAAATATTAATATGAATTGCAATTGCAACGTGGTTCGGAGTATAAGCGTGTTAAACAATTGAGAATAACAATACGGTTCCACTTAATGCACCAATAATATTCTAAAACCCTCTGCAGTCTAAATATTGTCCCATTCTCGTTATGTATTGTTTTCCTAACTATTCCGGTTCGAGTAAATGACTTCAGCGAACGAACGGGCCTTGGTCATCTATAGATCCGGTCAGCGCGCATTCAATTGTTCCCGAATGGTCAAAGCACGGCCAGCCTTGGAATTCCAGCTCTGAAACAAGTCAAACAAAATAAAAAAAATTAAAAAAAAAGGACAACAATCTGTCGGAGATAAAGCAAAAAAAAATTGAATCTCGACTAAGTGGATTAGCATACTAGAAAAATAGCTTCAGCAATTTTTTTTTCTAGGATGCAGAAGCATCTGGGCATGGCGAGAACAATGGTTTTGTAATATAGTTTAGATTCGTTTGATGCTTATGCAGAAGTGGTGTCTAATTGGGTTTATGCAATGCGTTTCCGCGAAAGCGGACATCGATCATAATTGAACAGTTTCTTATTTATTTTTTTGTTTCAGCTTCAGGATGTTCCACTACAGCAACTATGAGTTGGCGGTAGTGATAACAGTTCCGATAGTGACGATCCTCCTGCTGTGGACTTTGGCGATCTTCCACAAGAACAAGGGCAAGTGGAAGGCTTACGATATCACGATCGTTGCGATCCTCGTGGGAGCGGTAATCCGAAATGTATCTGTGATCTGCTACATTGCCATGCAGAAGATCTCCCTGTTCGAGATCCAGAAGAATTTCGATTGCTGCGCCGCTTTCGTGTGGCTCTTCAATTCCACGCATACCTTTCAAGCAAGCTGCTTGACAACTCTCGCTGTAATAGGGTTGTTTTCGATTAAGCTGTACAGGAAGCAGCAGAACATGAAGCAATACCTGACGACGACGCACGTCATCTACCATCTCTTCTGCTTGACGACACTCTGTGCTTGCGTCGGGGTTGCAGCAATCCTCGCTAAAGAAGAGGAACTGTTCGATAACCGCTGCCACTTCATGCCGTACCAGTTGGACTTAAAATTCAACGCCTTCATCATCGTCCTGCACATATTCCTAGCCACAATCAGCTTCGTCGCGTTTCTCTACATCTGCCTGATATACTGGAAGCTGAAGAGGGCCGGATTCGATTTCCTGAAGAAGTCTACGAGCGATCTAAGCGAACTCAGCGGACCTCACAGCCACGATAAGGGTTATTACGACACGTACACCATTCAACGAACCAGCGGCTTCGGATACGACCCCCAGGCTCAGCTGAATGGCTACAACACAATCTGGAAGAGCGACGTGTCTAATGTATCGACGACGGTGAGCTCCACCAACAGCCGGAAGCCTTTGAACAAAGATTACAGCGGTGGCGGCGAGAAGGGCGGCACCGGTTTAGAAACCATACATCCGGTTCTTATTGTCTGCTACCTCTTCTATCACCTCCCGATAATCGTAAGTAAAACTGCTTGAACTCCTGACCTATACCTGCGGGTGTGTTCTGACCTCAAAAGCCGCTTCGTATTCATAAGCCTCTCGCGGCACACTCATTTTCCTCTTTCTATGCACCAATTACTGCTTCCAATTACAAAAGGCAATCTTTTGTGGCATTTCTCGAATCCGAAGAATCGCAAAACCACCGCTCCACTTATAATCTATACCAAAACGCAGTAAGAAAAAGAGAACAAAAAATAATAATAATCATAATGAAGACAAAATTACAATGCAATTTCAGCGATAATTCAATGTGTGCTAATTGATTTCCATTAAGAGACTTCTCATTCGGATGGGCACAGTTACATCGCCAGCAGTTTCTAATTTGCGCTACGGGAAACTAGTTATTATACCTATAAATTTTTTTGCAATTATTGCAACTATGTCTGTAATTGTTCGAATTCAGTTCGGCTGCGTTTTATTTTCAGAGCGCGATAATCGGATAAGTTTGTAATTGAAATGCGGCACCGACGTTTCCCGTGCATTTCGTTATGAAATGCGGTTAATTCTGCACAGGAAATATGCAATTCGTTACGAGCGACTTTTAGTGGTCGAATATTTCCACAATAAGACTTCGCATTTGAAAAAAAACATACTTTGAATACTAATTTAAAAAAACATACATTATTTTAATTACACACCTTATGTAAAAACTCGATTAGAATCCTTGTAATTTTATTAATTATTGAAGCAAGCAGGTTTCAGCAAAATTTAAATAATTCCATATTCCCCTAATATTATTACCGTTTTTTTTATTAATTATGAAAACCATTACATCTGCTGTTGTTAATTAGCATATTAATTATCGAATTTGAAAACATGAATCTCAACGAAAAAGCAATATCAGAATTATGCAAGTAAATAAATAGCATTTTTCCTTAATCTTATGATAATTGATTCTTCCTCTTCGACCACAAATACTTGAATTACAATTTATTTATTTTTTCCTACGCGTAACATTTCTTCTAATTAATCCAAGGTCACATCGATTATGATAATTTATGATAATCTTACCAATGCACGATGGAAATTTAAAAAGAAATATTTTTCTGTACGCTCTTCATTAGATCTCAACAAAATAATATTTGATGAGATTCAATGACTACAATTTAATTTTAATTTAAAAAAACATTTCATAAAATCAAATTGCTGGACATTTCATAAACTGTAATTTCTTTAATAATAGAATACTACTATTACTTTCGACATGTGCAGAATCGTGTACAGACATACGAAGCTTGAACTTTCAGCTTCGTGACCACATCATAAACAAAACGTCTCCGAGTTGTCTACATGAGACACTTGCTCTAACAACTATAGTTTTTTTTTTGTTGTATGTTAATAAAAAAAGTGATCCTTCGAGATTGTGGCGTGAATCAAGGATCATAAAAGGAGTAGATTAAAATGTCAAACTGGTTTAAGATCGTGAGATCACAACTATAACTTACATAACCTGCTTATCTCTTTGGAGAAGTGTACATGTGTTTCAGGAGCGAACCTGTCCTACGCCATAATCCTAAAACGGACAACGAAAGTAATGTCGTGTCCCGGGATTAAGAAATCTCTGGACACCGTGGATTATCTCGTAGTTATGTCGTTGTGGAATCTTAGAGGGGTTTATGAATATTAAATGCAATATTCTTAATTAGTTTTATTATACACATCAGAGTTTTTATTGTGATAGTCAACAATATAACAGTTGATCTCACAGATTATTACTAAGAATTACATTCTCCTCTTAAGTTAGTATTACTCTCCAAGTAAGACCAACTTCTCAGTTCGACCCTCTAGCTAAGAGTAAATTATATAATACAAAAATGTGTTCATTTCAAAGAGGGAAGTTAAGGAAATCAGTTTTGAGCTTGTGGAAAATACAACCGTTTCTTTATCTAAGTTTTATGATCCTACCCAAATATTTAGGGGTTGAATAAGGCTGTTAAATGGTGATACAATAGACGCAACAATACGATTTAATATTCCACAAGTTATTCTAAATAATTACGTACAAGTATATTTGATGGATACATGAAATATGATTTGTAATAATTAAGAGGAAAGTGGTAGACCTAATAAATATACATATCAGTTATACAATAGAAGATAATAAATTGGTCGGCCACGACAATAAATCATTTGTTTTATCTGCTCATGTTTTAGTCATAAATTTTTTAATTTGATATAAAAACAAAGAAATATTCATAAAACAGAACTTTTTGTATTTGTAATTTTGTAGATTCGAAAAAAGTAGAAACACAAAAACTAATTCTTGTAGAAAGTACTGCGGTTAAGTAAATAAGTATATTACTACATGTGGTATGTACAGAACATTAATTTGAGCAACGTAATGAACAAAACTCCACCTTTCTCTCAATAACACATACATTTAAAAAAAAATCTTTCTGTATTTGCTCGAAACGTTTGCTGTTCTCGCCATTCTGACCTTGTTATTTCTGCATTTCTTTATAATTGCCTTTTTGCTCTCTACTTTACAATCTATTATTTTACAAAGAGCAATTAAAACAATTTGCATGAATATTCTAAATATTATACTGTGATTGACATATAGAAAATAATATTATTACTGACATTTACAACTGTATTAATTCATTAATTAACTCTGCATTTTTTTCTATCCTATAAAATTTATAACATAATTTCTTGAATCTCTTTCTTAAATGAAATTAAACGTACATTTTCATTATTAAATATTTTAATCTTCAGAATTATGGCATAATTTGATCTAAAAATGAAATAAATCAAAAAAAATTATAGAATGCAAAAGAATGGTCTAAATATTAACATACAAATGTTCAAAATTTATAAAATAAAAAAGGGCATCAAAACAATTGGTTTTCTGATTTATTACGTGTTAAATCAGGGTAAAAAAACATGAACAAATGAATAAGAAAGGTGTAGTATTCTTTTGTAAATGAAATTCTTGGTGCAATCGAAATTGAGTACAAAAACTTGGAAATGCATCCAAAATTAGAATGCTGAGGTGTATTTAGCAACGGCAATCAAAAGCATTTAGCGTTACAAGCGTACAGAACAATAGGTCCGATATATTCCACGCTCACATCTCAAGGTTTCGCATATTGCCATTACATATTTTCTCTAAAATAGATCTTTTACGACACAATGCTTCTTAATGCAGGAATAATAACATAACGCAACGCATTTTTTCTCACGACTTTTGTGCTCAACCCATATGATTCGTCTCTAGGTCAATAAAGTGCCCACTGACGCAATCGAAAACGATCATCTCTCATCGTTCTAAAGTGGGTTAAATCCTCAACTTCCGACGACGCGCGAAAAAATACACACAGAAAAGAAATGTATTTAGAACTACGCAAACGTTCGATGACTTCGTTTCTTTGCGAAGATATCGATTTGGTATTTAAACTACCAAATGTCGATACCATTGCGGTATATCACGACTAGATTCTGAAACGGAGCCTCATCACCTATCATCAACGTTTCCACACAATAATAATACCGCTACGGACAATGAGAAAATGCTGTAGAAGATGAGCATCAAAAAAGCAATATTTTTATTCTATTAATTTCGAAGAACCGTTAAAGCCGTTATGATAAATGAAGCAATGAAATAGATGGAAAACTTCTTCACCGATTTAATGTTAAAACAGACGGCTCCCAACAAAACACCAGAATGTAGCTTAACAAAATTCTTTACATTACAACCGGTTGTTTCGTTAGTGCGATGCTGGTTTTTATTTCATACTTTAAACATTTATTTACTTTTTTTTCCGAAAAAGGAAACGGAATTGCGTCCACGTAAACGCGCGGTTTCAGTTGAAAACGCTTCTGTCCGAGGTTGGTCAATCTCTTATGCTTCGGTATGTTTCGTTTCTGTTACTCAATGGTCTACTCCATTTACGGCCGTTAAATGCAGAGGCCATTATCGTTAGACCTAATAAAGAGATCCAAGAGGACTTTCTATTTTTATCAAATCGGCTTTTTCTCGCAGATAAAACGCCTCTCGCTTCCAACGATTTGCAACAATATTGAATGAATTATTTAATTTCGGATAGAAAACAGTACTATATCATTTTATCTAACAGTTAGTCTTTGTGGTTATATTGAAATGGAAATATAGAAGCAGAAAATAACAATAACTGTAATTGATCTTACAGTTTGGTCTTGTCTTTTGATTGTTGTTTTGTGGTTCGATTGGAATGGGAATATCGATGCAAAAAGAATTGCATTAAACTTAACACACTTTCTTCTTCTTCGGCTGCATTCCATATTCAACATATGCGTATGCGAAATGAAGTGCACTTAATAACGACAATTCATTTGCCGTGCATTTCTAATTTCTCTTTTTTTGCGTACTAATAATAATAAAATAATGATGTTGATGGTGAATCGTTTCGCAGATTCTGTCGATTTTTCCATTGTGGATCGCGCCTTGGTCGACTGCAACGGTTGGGCTATGGTTGGGACTTCTTCAGGACATCATGATTCCAGTAAGCTTGGGAATTTTGGATACTAGATTCACTCAATGGGTTTCCAAAGTCTACAGATGCACTGATACGAGAAGCGTCGAAGGGAAATTACCTCATGGTAAATAACAAGTCGCGTTCTTGGGTATATATGATTTATGTTTTTTTTTTGTTTGTTTTGAAGCTGGATTGGATGGCAAGTTTCGCCACTTTGGTTCTCAGCCTCAGAGTTTGGAAGTGGGCCAAATGCTGCCGGAACGTTTGCCTGGTAGATGCTATCAGCCGACCGAGCACAAGTTTCCAATCACGAACGGCTCTCTGTACACGAGCATCGAAGGCCGAGTGCCCGTCATCCACAACTACAGAAGACACAACAACGAGAACAGAGGTAAATCGCGTAAACTCATTTCGTTCGTGACATAAAATAATTTGGATTATAATTGCAGGTGCTAAATTGGATGGAAATTTGTTGAATTTGGGAATCCACTCTTCGAACTTGAAGCGCGTCGAGCAGAAGCAGAAGACTTCCTCGTTCAGATGCACGAATTGCGAGAAGCCGCACAGCAACGATCTGCAATACAGCCCAAGCAACAATTCCGATTTCATCCGCGGTTCCGTCTACAACCTGAACGTGTCCTCTCAGAGCAACCTGCTGAAGCCCTACCTACGACACGTCAGCTTGAGCCAAAACAGTCTTCGGCAAATACCGTTGGGCTCTCCGAAAAGGGAGAACGTCCTCAGACAGACCAAGAGCTACGACAGCTTAAACGATCTGAACAAATTCAAAGCTGTAAACATCGTGGATTCCGATGACGAGTACTTCACCGATTCTGTGATTTTGGAGAGGAACTTCGACACGATGAGCACGCAAAGCTCGTATTCCATTACGACGGAGGCCAATTGCGATTTCGAATTCTACCAGAACGAGAAGCCCGATGAGGATAAGGAGAGGAACAGGACGTCGAGGACGAGTTCGAAGAGCGGCTCCCTGAGCAGACACTTCAAGATCACCAGGTCGAATTCGAAGAGGTCCTTAGAGAATCTGCAGGCTTATCTGAGCGAGGAGAACGTTTTCCTGCATCGCTCCAGCTCGGATTCGCTTCGCAAACCGTCATCGGTTGAGGTTTCCGTAGAATTCGTTAACGATCGTGAAGGCACCTTCTTGGATTCACCATCGAGCAAGTCGCGCCAAATGAAGCACTTCGGTGCCGGAGGCAGCGTTCCCGATTTGAAGAAGATATTTATCTCCGATTACATCTAGGATCATTTTACCATTAATTTATAATCATTTTGCATTCGTAAGCGTTTAAGGTTGTACATAGACGAGGAAACCGTTAACGTATTCTCTATTAATGAATTTAATTGTTGCTATTTACTACCATAGTGATTTACATATGTATATATATTTTATTAATAAATTTTTAGTTTTTATTTTTCATTCATTCATTTTGTATCGTTGCAAAAGACATTTAAATACTGCCCCTAAACTGTTAAATATAATATAAACAGATTATTTAAGTTATGATTATTGTGCATAAATGATGTTTATGAATATACTCATTATTGTAAACTTATAAACCCTTCAATCAAAATACGAAATTCAATTTTATGACTGTTTCCATGACAAACGTCCAATGAAACAAAATAATATTATATAACAAAAGATTATTGTTAAATAAATGAAGTAGATGTCAAAAGTTAATTCCTACATTTTATCAAGAAAAATGTTAATAGTTACACAACATCTAGATTACTTAAAAAGTACATACATTTTATCCTATTATCCTCCAATTATTTTAAACCATTAATTAAAAATAAAAGTAACTTTGTTTTGCATATGCATATTTAATTTTCATCATTTTAAAATTGTCTTCGATCGTAATATCACCAATAAGTGTTTCGCGTTATTAAAGATCATATCGCGATGGAAATCTCAAAATCGTCGTCACGTTCTAACAGTTTATGCACTTAACTTAATTGAAATATTAGTAAATTGCTGTATTATTGATTCAGCTCTAATATTACTAATGATTCAGTGTCTCAAACAAGTTAATTTGGTTGCAGAAGTGAAATGTTTACAACTGATACTTATATAAAATATGAAAGTCATTCCATGATTAGCAATACTAAAATGTTCATATATAAAATATATGTTTTAAAATATTATGTTTTTTTGTAATTATCATTGATTAGTAATTAGTGTTAAACGGATAATTAATTTATTTACAGCTCATAATGATTGCCGTTCATTATTGAGTAACAAGAACTTTGCATTGTTGATTATTTACAGCACTGATAATTAGTCATTTGTAGGCCGATTGATAATTTGCACCAAAACCATTCATATTCGACCTTGCACATTACGATGATATGTTTGTTATAGCCAATTCCAAACATCTTAAGCTCATGCACGATTTATTACTGCTAATTACATATGAATTGCGTCAACACCGAAGCAAAAAGAATATGCTTAGTTTACAATTACGTAAAAAAAAATAAACATATCACCGAGATTCAAGGAAATGAGCGATCTTATAACAATTATTTGCTGCAAATGCGACAATCTTCAACGATTAAAAAAAATATATTAAAATGGGAATAATTCGGCGCCAAACGTGGGACACCCAAAGAAAACAAGAATCTAAAACATTCATGAAAGGAAATGGTTTAAAACCACAATTTCCACGTGACTATGTCTGATATGAAGTGGTAAAGGCTTTGACCGAGTGGAAAACCCATTTCGTTCGACGATTCAACAAAATGTTTATTTTCGAAAGTCGGATTCCTTTACCTTCATAGATGTATTTTATTTTTCAAGTATATAGCACCTAGTTAGCAACGACGAGATCCTATAAATTGTGTTTTTGTTTATTAACGATAACCTTGTCGCAGCGATGCATATTTAAAATAGATTCCTTTGCGTTGAAAATGATCGATAATAAAGAAAAATGCGCAGCTCGAACGTTAACAATAATTGAGAAAGTTTAAGCAGAAAATTAAAGCAATTTACAATTATAGACTAATTCTGATTAAATTACATTACATCATTAGTATTGCTTTTGTGCAGATTATTTTTCATGAAGTTCTGCACTGAAACATTCGTGAACAGTGTATCATATTTATTTTTAGACAATTGTAAATAAAAATCATACGTCAGAAATACTTATAATAGAAAATATGTAAAGCTATTATTGTATGCGATAAAAAAAAAACTACTTGAAACATGCAATTAAATTCATTATGAGAATCTACTTAAAACTAGTGCTGATAATATTATTACAAACAATATTAATCAATACATTTTCTTGAATAGTTTTCATCAATATGTAATCAAATTTATTAATTCATTATATAGGATCAATCAATATTCAAATAGAAATAGAAAAATTATGAGATGATACAAAATTATGAAACTAAATCTATAATTTGATAGATCACATGTCATTATTAAACAAGTTTAATAATTGACATTATATAGTCATAGACAATGTTATAAAATATTGATTCTGATGATTTTGTAAGTTTTTTTAATAAATCTTTATATCAATTGCAAATGAAGAAGTAATGTAAATGATATTATCTAATGATCTATCCTATATAATTGTAAAACTAATTTGAAAGATATTATGTCATCATTAAATAAGCTATATCCTAAATAATAAATCGAGCAATCATTTTCATAATTGTTTTCTTTGCAATTAAGTGTGAAAAGTGTAATTAACTAAATGTAGTATTCCATTCCATAGTGCTGGTATAGTGAAAGCGAGGTAACATATTCATAATAACGTAATACAATTGGAATTTGTGTTGGCAACGATAGTGTCGTTTAAAAGCGTTGGCAGGCTTGGAGGAGGAAGCATCTATGCCACTGCAGTCAATTCAATTTAGTTATACGCCATTACCACGTTGGTGAGGTTGTCCGAAAAGGGATATTTTAAGTAGATACCAGTTAATAACTCCGCCGATTAAGAGTAAAAATGGCCCTCCACGTCGTTGACAAGGTAATCCAAAATTTTCATATCCTGACACCCCACAATCGGATTCCTTAACCGCGTATTCGAACGTTACGAAATTCCAGCATTTTTTTTCTCTCTGTATTCGTGACGTTTCAAGGATACGTGGGAAACATTCATTTGTTACGCTAATTCGCCGGTCGTGGCCTCACCTACTTCTTGAATAATAAGCTTGGATTAAACCATGCAATGATTGATGGGTTCACCCACAAGGGTAGTATAGTTCCAAGAGCAAAGGGATAATCAGTAAAAAAAAGAAAGGGGGGCAATCGTTCGAGCGATAAGTCTCTCGTGTGTGCTTCGGTATCAGATAACGGGAACACATCACACTTTTTAAAAAAGAATCCACACTCATTTTCGAAGCGTGACTATCGAAAAACCTAAGTGTAGAAGTATTTCCGAAGAACTTAATTACGTATGCTGAATTTCGTAATGGTGACAAATACGATGTAAACATGTTTTTTTCTCTCCTATTATTGAAATCCCCGCGGCGTAAACAAAACATCTCATCTTGCACATTGATTACGCACTTCTGGAAACAATTTGTTCGGTAATTAGCATTGATTGGAAAACGCATTCGGCTTGATTGCGGCACAGGCCTCGTGGCGTGATTTCGTCCAAGCCTTTTCTCCACTCTCCTTATTAAAATGTACAAGAATATCGATTTCTTCGTCGTGTCGCAACGTTCCTTTTTTCCATATTTTTTTTTTGTCCACTTGTTAAATCATCCGCAAATGTTGATGTTTATCGCAGGAGTAAAAACAGATAACATTTTCAAAGTAATGCTTGTTTTTATCCAGATTTCGTCCAGCCTGATAAGCTAAAATTTGACTATCATCGCAGTACATATTACGTATATATATATTTATATATGTATGTGTGTGTATATATAATGTAATTCTTTCGTCACTTCCGAATTAACTCAATTGACTATTGATCAACGCGCCGCTTTTTACATGCAACTATGTTTGTGATGTTCTGGTTTCCATGACGGCGCGCTTAATTCGGGGAGAGAGCGAGAGGTTTCATACGGCCTTGTCGTTAATGTTCCGTTAGTCATCGAAGCCTCTTTTTTCTGATTTCCAGGAAGATTTCGACTCCAAATTGACCGATGCCGATGACGCACTCGTCGTCGTTGACTTCTTCGCCACCTGGTGCGGACCTTGCAAAATGATCGCCCCCCAATTGGACGATCTGGCCAAGGAGAAGCCGACCATCACCGTTCTGAAGGTCAGCTCAAACCTACCCAACACCGTCGTCACGCCTTGCTAAAATAATCTCTTCATTACAGGTGGATGTTGACGAATGCGAGGATCTGGCCATGGAATACAACATCACGTCTATGCCGACGTTCATCTTCATCAAGTCCAAGCAGGTGGTCGCCAACTTCAGCGGCGCTAACTTCGAGAAACTTAAACAGACCATCCTAGCTAACATGTAAAACAAACAGCAAGCAACAACAACAAACAAAAAAAACACTGCACGCCAAAAAGCGAAGCAGAACTAGAAAACAGTTGTCCTTTCGTGCCCCACATAGCAGCTGCAACAACAAAAATACACAATTAATTTATCATTCTTATAATTTGTATATCACTTAATTACTATATTACGTTACTTCTTTTCTACGTCGATCGTTCAATCCGTTTGAATACTACTATTGTTTTAGAAAGTTAAACGCTTTACAAAAAAAAAATAAAAGTTAAAACTTAGTATTGAATGGTTGGTTTGATATTACAGGCTTTCGGAAATGTAAATACAGCAGGAACTATGTGTACTGTAAACAGCGAAAAAAAAAATACATTATGTTTATTTCACATTTAAAATTTTAAGTAAATAATAGTTAAAAAGGATTATTACGATTTTTATTTAACCTAGCCTTAACTTCACTAAAGAAATACTCCAAACTTTGCATAACTAAGATCAAAGGTTACCTTAATTCTCTACCAAAATTAATATGTTATACGACTATTCTAATGTGTTTCTATTTACCTGCTCTTCAATCCTTACTGTTGTCACACAAACTTTAAATTTGCGCATAGGCAACCCAAATAACTCGCAACCATTGAAATAGAATACACAAATTTATTATTTTCACTACTTTTGTTTTGTATGCATTATCACCATTTCTCTACATAAATGATAGTGAAATAACAATTATTTATGTTGCAAATATATTATCTAACTAATAGTATATGTAAACAACATAATATTGTTTTTTTGTAGTACAATATGCACTATATCGTTATCAAATTTATTATTATTGATGACCTAATCAAAGTGCATTTTCCAGTACATTAAATCCTAGAAAATATCGCGTAGCACTTGAGCAAAGATACAAATATAATTGATTCACTGGTGAAAAAGAAACGATTTTTGTATATTCCAATAATGAGGAAATGAAACGAAGTAATAATAACTCACATACCTTTGTAACAAATCTAAATAACAATCTGTTATTTAATGACACTTTTTAATTGTATATAACGCTCACTGTACCGTATCGAAGCAAGTTCGTGACCTGTAACTGATTTTTTCAGTTAATCTCTATTCCTCCCCGCCTTTTCCATTCCTTTATGCGAACACTTGTGTAAATAAAGAACACTAAAGCTTCTTATTTTATGTTTTTGCAATTGCGAGGTGATTTCCTTTGTGTTAGCATCATTTTATTTGTATTACACGGAGTTTTGTTATCTGTAAGTATTAGTCATAGTTATGATTAAATATGATATAAGAATAATCATACTGCGTTCTTTCACACTCATTGAAATTGAACGTTAAACCCGAACAAGAAAATAGCGGACATTCATTGCTTCATCATCTGTGTAAACAGATTGAAAATATGAATATAAAAAGAAAGAATGTTGTTTAATTATGATGGATCATGTAAAATAGTCAATATAATTTTATTTATACAGAAAATATATATATCTAGCATATAGTAAATTAAAAAAAAATAGTTGGAAACAAGTATAGAATTTCGATATTCTCAAATGAGACGGGAAGAACGAAATAAGAGAATCTTCCTACAAAGAAATTAATATCACATAAGATCTTAATTCATCAACGTACAACATTCCAAGCGAAGATAATTCCATTGTCCTATTAAAATTACCGTTCTGCATATTAAGATCTTCAGTGTTTAAGGCTAAGAGATTATACGTTTTTAGATTAATATATTTTAGTCGTTCAGACATCCATAGTGTCGTCAGGTTGATCGGCCGAGCTATTAATGACGGCTCCCTCGTGCAAATTCCTGTATCTCAATCTATTGAAACCCGAACGGATTTTAGCAAATACGGACGTGCAGGTGATACCATTGTACAAGCACATTCCATACAGGAGAGCGACGAAACCGAGCAGCTGAGAATTGAGAGAATAACATTGTATAACGATAAATTTCAAGAAATACCATTTCTATAATACCTGTAACCATTGGAAAATTTGTCCCATGAAGAGCATGCTCACAATCCAAATAACGATTGTTCGTACGCTGTCTAATACCATGCGGGTAGTTGCGGAGAGTTCTTTAGTTACGCTGATCCCAGCGAAATTGAAGAACGCGATAGAAACGATGGTTCCTGCAATAAGCGTACATTAAATTTAATGAATATGAATTAATTATATTTTACCTAATATTGCGAAGACGAGATTGTAATTATTTCCAATCTGAATGAAAGCGTCGATGGCATCTTCCAAAACGCCTCTGGAGTTGTTGCTGAATGGAGGTCCGACTTTGATGTAGTAGAATGGAATCTGCAGAAGAGCGAGGACCGTGAATCCAAAGATGCCTTCCCATCCTACAGCCTGCAATGGTGGAATATCCTGACCGGAAACGAATTTCTCTTCGACCACCATTTGAATGGCGGTGATCACTTGCGCCATAATAATGAGAATGTCACCGGTGATGATGCTATTCCTATCCGGCGCATCACCGTCGCTCTCGTTGGTCATAAAGTCGGCTGCTCCAACCACTGACAATCCAACGATCACCATGAATATTCCCAGCCATTCCCTTTTCTTCAAAACCCTCTCCAAAAATCCGACACTCAACAATCCAACAAAAATAATAACAGAACCTAAACAAAAGAATCAGTATTAGAAATATAATAACTCAGTGAATGGAATGAATCACCTCTAAACATCTGAAAACTGGATGCATAGGTCAAAGTCAATCCAACATACATAATTGAAGTGGCAGTCATATCACACATAGCTGGGAGGAAGAGAATAAAAGGATTGAAGGTTCGGTTACCACGAGTCAGTTCCTTAACATTCTCAGTACCATCCTGGAAAATAAGTTAAAAACAAATAGTTAATTTCAATAACAAAGATATTCATACAAAATATAATTTACCCCGCGTCTACTATATGCAAAGTACATGACTTTAAACACAAAGAAACACATGATCTCTCCCAAAAACATACAGGAGGCCTGGAAAAATGGATGATCAAACTTTTTAACACCATCCTTTCCCTCTGATTCCAGCTCATCCGCCCACCTTGAAACAAAGCACAAACAATAGTTGTTGTTTTACCGAGATATATATATGGGTTGTTGAAATGTAAACTCACTTTGTACTTAAGGTATTTATGCTTCCAGTTACAACCATCATTAATGCCAGCATATATTGGTACGGAGTCCAAGCCATTTTGTCTTCGCTCTTTCGTTCTAACTTGCTGCGGTGATATTAATAGACTGCGTCCTTTTAGTTTCAAGCGAATAGTGATATTACGGAATTTTTTCACGGAGATTCGAACCCGTACGACCTATCTGCCTCGTATAATAAACCGCTTTAATCAGCTGTTTTTGTTTGACAAACAACCTGTCAAACGCTATTGAAAATAATGAATTTACAAACACTAGTAGAGTTTTCAGTCATCGGAACTATAATAAACGAAGAAATCGCACATGCTCCGATCGCATCGATCAATTTATGATTGATGGGGAGCAACGACATATATTCTTTTTTGAAAATTGTTACGCAAGTTATGCAACCAAATATACAGATTTCTGAAAATGCACTTGCTTATGCAACGATGCATAACACTTCTATCCACTTGTGTCATGGATGTAATATGCATGGCAATATGTATTTCTACAAACAGGTGTAATGTTGTGGATATGAATTTATGAAATTTGTAACAATCAAAAAGAAGTACTCTACTCAAAAACATGGAATTTAACGAGAAATATAAACGTAAATTGTTTTGAAATGATCAGACGTATAGAAAATAGAATACTCAGTTTAAAATGGATTTGATTCTTTTGTTCTCAAACTTGTTTTGAACTCATTGAATTCAGCACAATATTTGCCGTTCTCTTATTGGCTGCAATGAACGTGCGAAAAGGCGCGCAAACTAACGCGAACTGTGTTTGACTGTCATGTCGAGGAAGAGCGATTTTTTTTAAATATTATTTTTTTCAAGAATCGAATTTTAATGTGTATTAATTACCGAAATGGTTAATGACGTAAAAGAAGAGGGAACTTCGGATCCAAAGGATTTGGAGGAGAGTGTCAGCAAGAAACCGCGGATAGAGAATGAGACGAGGTCCACTAAAATTGAAAAAATTGATTTGCCAACGAAACCGAAATCAGAGAAATGCGTCAATTGCATGCAGTTTATTGATGAGGTTGTCTTGTATGAGGGCCATCCGAATAATTCTGTGGAAGAGTATGTGGCTCTGACTAATGAGAAACTGTTGCTCTTCACTGGCAATGAAACCCACATGGATCAGCACGATGAGAGACCAACAAATAAGGTTAACTGAATTTACAATAAACTGTAATGTAACTTATATGGGACTATATTGAATTTGTAGATTACTCATTTTAACATATATGGGAAATGTGGACACTTGTGTGCTTTTGACAGTGGACTCATTGAGACAAATAAGCTGATCTATTTCTCTGGTTATGTGAAAGCTGTTTATGAGGAGGATGACAATCCTGATGGAGGAATTGCAGCTCATGATTTGGGTCCTATCAATGCTTGGTATTAATTAATGTTTTAATTGACAATTAACTAATGATAGTTTCCTAGGTACACAGCAGGATATGATGGAGGTGAAAAGGCTATTGTTGGCTTTAGCACAGGTTATGCTGAGTATTACTTGATGGCCCCAGCAGTCCAGTATGAACCACTGATGACCATAGTTAACAGCAAGATTTCCCTCTCAAAACTTGTAATAGAATTCCTATTGGATGAGAATTGGCAGTCTCCAACCTATGAAGACTTATTGCAAAGGTTGGAATCTTCAGGGAATGAAGACTTGACTGAGGAAGCTTTATTGAGGCATGCCCAATTTGTTTGTGATCAAGTTGTTAGTTTTGACCAGGCAGCTGATGAAGGAAATGAGGAGAAACCATTGATTACAGCCCCATGCATGAGAGATCTTGTTAAGATTGCCGGAGTCACGTTTCGAAAACGGAAAGGCTTTAGAAAACTGGATAAAGGAGTAAATTATTTGCAACTTATATTGTTTCCTTATAAAAATATATAATGTTATTGTTTTTCTTCTTTAGCAAATCAAAAGAAAAGTTAAGAAAGAAACTTGGAGCAAAGCTACGACAACGAAACTGGTTCGCGACGTGTTCGAGTCATTCTTCCCAGAACAAATTGCTGATAATAAAGTCGAACTGAAAGGACCTAAAAAGAAACGATGCGGTGTATGCGAGGCTTGTCAATTACCTGATTGCGGGTCATGTAATCATTGCAAGGATATGCTTAAATTCGGTGGTACTGGAAGATCGAAACAAGCCTGTAAATTAAGAAGGTAAAGAGAGGTAGAATGATTTAACTGAAAAGTTATATGTAATTATTCCAAGGTGTCCAAATATGGCAATCCAAGATGCGGAAGAATCTGATAATGAAGACAGTGCTGATGTTGAACCGGAACCGGAAACTGAAGAGCCTTGTTCCAAGAGGATAATTCATGATGTTACATGGGCAGAAGAATCCGTGGAGAACTTCAATGGAAGAATTTATTATGAGAGTGCTGTAGTTGGTAAATCTTGCTTTTGTAGATTATTTTATAAAAACGATAATACCTAACGTGATTTAAGGTGAACATATTATAAACAATGATGACTATGTGATGCTGAACTCGGCTGCGCCCGATCATCCCTTGGTTGTGGCCAGAGTGTGTTACATGTGGGACCAAGAACCGGGGGGTCCCACTTTTCACGCACTCATTTTTACCAGAGGTTCCGATACCATCCTTGGAGAAACTGCGGATCCTCGAGAGGTTTTCTACACGGATACTTGCGAGAATTGTCCATTGGGTAGCATAGTTTGCAAAGCTGAGGTACGGTTTTTTTTTTGTACGAAATTGGGAACACCATCAACAATATTTTTGATGCTATATTAGGTGCGACGACTTCCATTTAGCTTTAACTGGTCTAGAAACTTTGAGGCAGGTCTAGCTCCAATTTTAGAAGATGACGGAAAGACTTTCCACTATTCGAAGCAATACGACCCGGAAATGGGCAGATTCGAAGACTATTTAATGTCCGACGAAGAGAATCCTTCGCCGTGTCCGGCTTGCACGTGAGTTATTAGGAAACGGCAATTTTTTGCCAGATGGGTTTTGCCTAATTTGATGGTTTTCAGTCGAAAGCACGACAAAAATCATTACAATACACCATTCCCGTACGAGAATGGCATTTTTTGGCGTGGACATCGCTTCCTGGTCGGTTCTTGCGTTTACCTGAATCCTGACGTTTTTAAGTTTGAAAGTGTTCATGATTTCTCAGATGCAGATGACAATAAGGAAATGGAAGACGAAGAATTGTATCCGGAATATTATAGGAAAACTTCTGAAGTTAAAGGTTCTAACAATGAAACTCCGTTACCTTTCTGCATAGGAATGATTGAAGAGCTGAATACAACTGAATTGACCATTGAAGTTAGAAAGTTTTACAGACCTGACAATATTAATATCGGCATGTTTTTGTCCTACCAATCTGATTTAAATCAGATCTTTTACAGCAGCGAACGTAAATTTAATTCATTGATTTGATTTTTTGAGTTTTTAATTGATTTCGATTTCTGTTGCTTTAGTGATCTCTCTGCCGTTCAAAGAAGTGACTGGTAAATGTTTCATAGTTTACGGCGATAATTTGGATATGGAAGCGAGCGAATGGATTACGAAAGGACCAGATCGCTTCTACTTTAGGCAAGCTTACAACGCGAAAACTAGGTCCTACGACGACGTACCGTCGATGGCGATGAAGATCGGTCATCCGAAAAAAGGAAAGGGCAAAGGGAAGGGTAAAAGCAAGTCTGCGGATTCCGTGCATTTCGATTATCCTCCAATGTGGGAACATCTGGAGGTACCAATGAGGACGATGGACATATTTGCTGGCTGCGGCGGTCTGTCCGAGGGCCTCCATCAAAGCGGTGTGGCCGATACTCTATGGGCTGTAAGTCGACTTAACTCTACTCATTACCTCTTTTTCGAATTAATTTATTTGCTTTACAGATTGAGAAGGAACCCGCCGCAGCTCAGGCGTACAAATTGAATAATCCAACCACCAAAGTATTCACAGACGATTGTAATTCCATACTGAAACAAGTCCTCGAAAATGCCGACTCCGGAGTATATCCGAGACGCGGCGACGTCGAGCTCCTTGTGGGAGGTCCTCCGTGCCAAGGTTTTTCGGGGATGAATCGTTTCAACGCCGGACAGTATTCGCTTTTTAAAAACTCTTTAATCGTTTCTTATTTATCTTATTGTGATTATTATAGGTACGTTTCTGTTTTTTTTTAATTAATTTATTTTTTTTATATTTTGATTATTATTCTAGACCAAAGTATTTTATCTTAGAGAACGTAAGGAATTTTGTGTCTTTTAAAAAGAGTCTGGTTTTAAAGTTAACTCTAAGATGTTTGCTTGCTATGGACTATCAAGTGGCATTTGGCGTTCTGCAAGCTGGTCATTACGGCGTTCCTCAGACTCGCAGGAGGCTTATTATTATGGCAGCGGCACCTGGCTACAAATTGCCACAATATCCAGAACCTCTTCATGTTTTTAATAAAAGAGGATGTCAGCTTTCCGTTGTAGTTGGTGGACGACGATACAGCAATGGTAAATTTCTATTATATTTGAAGTAATTAGGATTTTAAAAGCGAAAAATTATTAGGAACGAAGTGGATTTCATCTGCACCGTTGCGTACGATCACAGTTCGCGATGCCATGGCCGATTTGCCAGATATTAAGAATGGTGCATCCAAACATGAGATGATGTACGACAATGACCCAATGTCACATTTCCAAAGAAAAATCCGTGGCGGGGCGCAATCCGTATTGAAGGATCACATTTGTAAAGATATGGCGCCCCTCGTTGAGGCTAGGATGGCTCATGTACCGCTGGCGCCTGGGAGCGACTGGAGGGATTTACCAAATATCGTCGTAAAATTGAGGGATGGGTCTTTCGCTAACAAACTGCGATATTCCTACAAGTAAATGGGACGCATTGATGTAAAACAAAAATTAAACTATTCTCCTTGCAGAAGTAAGAAGCAAACCAAAACACAACCGAAAGGAGTGTGCCAATGTTCGACGGGGCGTTCCTGCGATCCCTCCGATAGGCAATTCAACACGTTGATCCCCTGGTGCCTGCCTCACACGGGCGATCGACACAACCATTGGGCAGGTCTTTACGGACGCCTCGAATGGGACGGTTTCTTCTCAACGACAGTTACCAATCCCGAACCAATGGGAAAGCAAGGACGAGGTAAGTCATCGCGTTATTTCACAATGCAAACAAAAATTATACCGGTAATTATTGTGGATCACACAGTATTGCATCCCGATCAGCATCGCGTCGTTAGCGTAAGGGAATGCGCACGTTCCCAGGGTTTCCCAGACCGGTATCAATTCAGCGGTAGTATTTTGGATAAACATCGACAAGTGGGAAACGCCGTTCCTCCGCCTCTGGGCGCCGCCATTGGCAGGGAAATCAGAAAGTCTGTCTTTATGACGTATAGACAAGTTTAATTTATAGATTTTTTTTGTACAAATGATAATAAATAAAGTAATCGAATACTGATTTCTTAAATATTTATGCGGAGAACGTTGGAGACGATTTACTGGCTGCTTCCGTAATCTCCGAAGCGAATACTTCCATCAATTGCATGTTTGTGTCTTGGTTAATCCTATGGCTCTGCAGAGAAAGAAGCAGCAAGTGCAGCGCCGATTTCACCAAACTTTCGTTCAGTAACTTCATCACTGTTCCTATATAATAAATAGAATAGAATTTTTAAACAAATACAATAAACGATCAATCTATTACCTGGTATGCACTCAGAACAAAGATTAACCAATTCATCGATTTTCATTGGACATGGAATGGTCGGTCCATCGAACTTTGGTATCTTTCCAATACATCCGTTGATGGCTTTAATAAGCTTTTCTCCGATCTCGTGCAATTTGCTCTCCGCAGAGTTACCCACAGTCAACAGCAAAACCTTCACAACGTTCTCCTTCACCAAGGGTGGAAAAGTATCTTCGATCAGCTCGCAGATTAAGTCGATCAAGGCTTTGGTCATCGGAATTGTTGCATCGAAATCGTCAAGTTCATCTGAGCAATAAATTATTAGATTTTATATCTTACATTGCATACACGTTTACCATCAAACTGTCGCCTGTCGAGTATCAAAGATGCGTCCAAATTATCCGACAGTTCAACCGCTTCCACCGCTTCGTACGCGTTGTCTATAGTGCAGAAAACTTGTCTTTCGGCCAAGAATTTCTCCATGTGCTGATGTAAATCATCTGACTGGACGTCCTCCTGCACGAACACCCACTGTTTCTCTCCCATTTCCGCAATCGGTTTAATGGTCGTTGCAACGGAAGTAGTGACCAGGCCATCTTGCTCGTTGTTTCCGGGCAGCGCTGTTTTCAAGGTGTTGAGAGTGTTCTGGAAGACACCGGTTGCGGTCTTTGCCCAAGCTTTGTATACGCTCGGTGCTCCGTCTTCACAAAAGTCCTCCAAACTTCCGGAACTTATAATCTCGATTGGCGTCACGGACACTGGACTAACAGCAGGAGTAGACTCCGAAGTCTTCTGCGCTAGAAGCGATCTTAATTTCGCCGTGGTCGTAGCCAAATCGGTGGTGTCTTCGTACTCCGGATCCGGACTATCTATTTCCATTATAGGAATGCTTTCGGTAGCTTTGGATTCGCTGGACATTGATCGCGAATCCGGTGATTTCTCCTAAACAACAATACATTATTATAATGATTTCATTGATAGTAATAAATGTACCAATAAAATTTCGCCATCGAAACTGGGCGACGAATTTGCCCGTCTCTCCAACAAGGGATTCACCCAAACAGTGTCTTCGCCGAAACTTTTAGGATCTTCTACTTGAACATTCTTCTGACGACACAGAATGTTGTTCTCTTGGCCATCCTGCAAACCGGTTAATCTTAGGCCTTTTCTGATGCCGGCCATCCCGAAATCGAACAATCCTTCGACAACGCCAGCCGCTTCATCCTGGAAGTCTCCGATTTTGTGCATCGCGTTGCTCGTAGCTAGAGACATAGGCTTAACTACATTGTTGACGGTGCTTTGCTGAATTTCCTTCATCGTCGTCGTTGTCGCTTGACTAATAGAATGCTTCAAATTCCCAAAAATCTCATGGTCTTCAGGGATAGCTGGAACTTCACAAGAATCTAAACACGACATATGAATATGGCATGAGGTCACAATTCATTTTCTTAATTACCTATCAACGATTTTGACGACTTTCTGCCCATGTCTGGTATATCCAGATCCAAGATATCCTGTCCCAAAGAAATGCAATCTAAATCACTTGAATACCTCCAAGTTTTGTTACTAGATTTTGACTCATGAATCTTGACTGGGGCGCTCATTAGTCTAGTGTTTATAGGGGTCGACGGTTCCTGCAAATATGAAATTTCATCCTCAATCTTCTTAAAATCTGAATCGCCTCACTTTAATGGGCGCCTCATCATTCTCCACCGCCAAACAATCTTCCACGTCCTCTGCTTTCTCTTCAGGAAGAATTACGTTTGTTGTTGAGAGATCCGAATGATCAACGTCAGAAATACTGATAAAGGAATACTTTTTGAATTTGTCCACATCTTCACTCAATTCCATTAAAATTTTGTAATTAATAAAACCAGGTGAGGACATGTGCACCAAGAGATAATTGACTAGTTTCTTAGACATAATTGATGTCACGCATTTGCTGCCAAGTGAATTGTACAGTTCCCAGTTTATAAAATGTCTCAAGAGCTTTGTAGTTATGTTGTAGCTGAACTGTTCCATGCTCTTGATACTTTTAGATCCAACATGAGAATACCTAAAGATAAATAACAAATTTAATTCAAATAAGTCTTTATTCACAGTACTTGTTCTACCTGTAATGTGACTCAATGGATCCTCCAATACTTTTATATCTCTTGGTTGCCCTCCTGTACTCCTTTATGTGTTTCAACAGAACAACAAGTATCCTAAGAATCAACCTGTCTGAATTAATTTGAGTTGAAATTTGCAGAAATCTCCTCACAATGATATCAATTAAATTCCTGCTTTCTTTGAGAAATGCCTCATCTGTACTCACATAAACTGTGTACCATTTCCTTATGTAATTCCTCTCAATATCATTGACAAAATCATCAATTCTATCATCAATTTTGGCTTCCTGCACTTTATTTGTTTGTGCATTGTAAGAGAACAGTTTGTTTTTCAGTGACTCTATGAATCTGTTGGTGGCTGGTATATCAAATGGCTTATGCTGATTCAGGATGTGTTGGAAAACAGCAAAGCTTATCCACACAGTAGTGAATAGCACAAGTAGTACATAGAGTAATAAGAAAATTGTGTTGAACACAATCAATTCGAACTTACAATCTATGCACAGTATGAGAACAATGATAAAGATGCACACAAAGGGCACTTTTGTACACATACTTGTAGTATTATTCATTTTTCTGCTCAACATTTTGGGTGTGTTTATATCATTGATTTTTCATAGAACATCCATTCTTCTGAATGTTGGCTTATATTTTCTAAATAATTACCATTTTAGCCTTATACATTCTTGCTGTTACTATTGTTTAAACTACATTTACAAATTGCACTATATTGTATACATATCATAGATAAGCAGCGTCGAGCATAGATAACTATAGATAATAATTATAAACTCGAATGGCGCCTCTACAGAGCTGCTTTCAAAGCTTAAACCAAAACAAAGTTACATAACCTCAATATTCCATTTTTTTTTTTGCGCATTATTCAAAATGTTACTTATATAACGTCTAATATTCAAGGTCTAACAAAATTAATATAATTATATAGGATGTAATTATTCAATACTTGTTATTGTTTATGAAAAATTTGATGCTCGGTCAGTGTGGTGGCGCAGTCATCGAATCTTAGTTTAATGGCATCTCTTAGCAAGGTGCCACCAATGACTGCCACCAAATAATTTAAATTTTTAAATTCGTTCACAAAATTCCTTAAATGTAATTGATATAAACAAAGAAAACTAAATCTAAATAAGCGTGCCAAGTATATATTATGACAATGTAACGTATATACAAGCTAATAATATTAACAACTTGTAGAGATACATAATACTTCATATCTTTATGACTTTTATTTATTTTGTCCTTCACTTCTATACAAATAAATGTTAGTATTTACTAGAAATAATGATTAAATCTTGATTAGTAGCAAGTAAATAAAACATATTGAGATTAGGTAACTTTGTTTTGATTTATACTTTTACAGTAGCACTGAAGAGGCGCCCCATAGTTACCAAACCAGGCCACTATATAGTTGCCTTTTTAACATGCCAAGACCCATCTATGAGGATTCTCAAGAACTAATTTTATTTATAATAAACGAATTCTTGGACAAATTGGAGACAAATTCGTGTATTTCCTATGATTTTTTATGATTTATGAGTTGACGAAAGGCTATGACCTAAAATAAACAAACATTTCTGCTCAAAATACTCTGAAATGAATATTTTTTAATTTGCATAAATGTATATTGTTTATGATATCGTTTTACAATTTACGATAACATTTTCCATTTTTATTCAAGGATAACGATAATTGCGAATATTATTCATTCGTTGTGACTCAGTCTCTCATGACAGCATTTACAATGGTAACGTTGAGTTGCTTGCATTGACTAAAGTATATATCTTTGTTGATGTTGAAAATGTACCTTAATATCATATTTTTTGTTATACTGGTTATCAGTACATCAAGTTTGGGAGATAAGGTATGTATTATACATGTTTAAAAACGACTTTAAGTGTAAGAACAAGGTTTATAATAATGCAGCAATTTACAGATTAATATAACACTCATTTACTCCTCAGCAGATGAACAGTCTTTAAACTTTCTTAAAACAGAGTGGACGTTAAAGCCGATTGATGTATTCGAAAAATATATCAATTGGGATTTGGAACTGTACACGCCTGTAAGTATTTCTTGAATCAATATTAACACATGAAAATCTGCAAGGTTAGATATGCTTGTTTTACAGTATACAGCAAAACCAAATGAAAACGGTAGCAGAGATTATTCCTTTAAATGCGACCATGGGGAGCAAGAGGTGCTTGGGAATAAATATCATGAATGTGCCAAAAAGTACTATTTCTACAAAAATGATGAATTGATTAATTTCACTAAATGTTATGCTAAAAATACTGCTGTGTTGTCTGCTGATACAGTGAAATTACCAGATCTAGGACTATGCACAAATGATGATAATCAACGGAATTATTTGAAGACGTGTGTGGAAGGAAGAGATGGTTTTTAATGTGCTTACATTGCAATTAGCAATTTATTGATTTTTTTTTTGTTTCTAGTAATTAACAGTTTGGTGAATTCAACTTCGAATATAAAAAAACTTAAAATTGAAATGAAAATGCCAATTCTGTTTGTCAATGGTAAACGCTTTGATTGGAATGGTAAGTTTAATGAATTTGAAAAAAATATGTGCCAAAATATTAGTAGCATTAACAATTTAACTGATATATGTAATGGTGCAATCAGCAATATCTTTATTAATATTGCATTATTACTGTCCATGTTGATGTTCCATAAAGTTATGAGCTACTAACATTATTGCACATTTAGGAAACTACTCCTAAAGAGAGAATCTCGCACTTAATGCTTATGATGGGTATCGGAAATTAGAACTATTTGAATGCTTACTCTAGTCATATAGTTGCAGGAAAGTAGATATATTTATAAAACTTTTATTTTCGAATATTACACTTTAACAAACAAACAAAATTTTTAACTTAAATGGAATTATAAATGTTATGCATTCATCTTAGGGATAGCTATTTCTTTCCACCTGAGAAAAGAAAAATTAATTGTTAAATTAAATATTTATCTGCTTTAAGAAAGTTTCTGATTATTATACCTTTCTTTCCGCCTTTTCCGCCCTCTTGTTTGGCGCCACCTTTCGATTCGCCTTTGGCTGCGCCACCTCCGGCCGCAGGTTTTTTCTTGAAAAAAAAAATTAAACATATCAATTAAAAAATGTCCTTCGTTCATAAATTAAGATCACTAAGTACAGTATCAGTAGGTTTGGTTCCGCCTCCTCCTCCACCTTTACCTTTACCCATTGTATCTTCGATAAAGTGTTTCTATGAACTGATGCTAATATTATGATTTCTTGGCATTCAATTGCGTCTTTGGCCCTATCGCCAAACAAACAACTCGCAATTCTATTTTTGCCGTCCTCTCCTCTCAAATCCTAGGTCATTTCATATAGAGTAAATGGAATTCTATACAGTCATCACTCAACGTATCTCAAATAAAAAATAAATTATGTTTACAGATCAATATTTATTTTATTCTTTCACTTTATAAATACAGTGGAACAGAGTTGAATCCGTTCCAAAATTTCCAGATTTTTACTCGTATATGTTTCACTATATTCCAAAATACACATAATATGTGTACACAAGTTTTAAAAATGATGTAAAAGGCGAGTCATTCATTCTTAGAATTCATTTTGCTCGTTAAGCGTGAGGTTCTACTGTATTCTAATAATTTCGTTGATGACATGATTGAGTATTTTTAGTCATGTTATTGATTAAATTATGATGGAAAAACCCTGTGGTATAAGTTCTACTGAACGATAATTTATTTACAGAAATAAACATTTTCTATTACGTAAGAAACAAACATAATTAATTAAATAAATAAATGTTAATTAAATAAAAAACAAATATCGTTTTCTTTGTAAAATCATTACCTCCAATTACATTTATGATTCTTGCATACTTGAAGAAAATTTCATATAAAATAATATGTTATCATTGTAGATTTAATAAAATCTGTATATATATATAGTAAACATTGAATTGTAATTCAATTGCGTAACTAAATTATATACAGGAACTCTCATATCCATCCACTCATATCTTTATTGCGGTTTAGATTTTTATAATCTACTTTGTAAATATTTTTCTTTGTTTCCTGTTGAAATCAGTAAATGTTAGGACAAATACAATTATATATGGTTCAATAATAAAATATATTTATGTTTATTTATTATATTTGAATATGTAATAAACTAATAAACATTGCTTTCTTTATTTCAGACTAATTTTATTATATTTATATAAATTGTTACAGCGCCATCTAATATTCGATTTATCCAACCGCTACTGTTTTTCTTTCAATGATTGGTACTTCTTGTGCATTCTTGTGGTTGGCGACACTGTACGAAACGCTGGGATTGCTTTGGACGGCTTGGTTTTGTGGTCCTTATGCTTGTATACGATGATTGAATGTATCAATCAGTTCAGTGAGTGTTTAAGTGCGGTTATTGTTCTGTGAAGAATAATCTCAGTGATAACGCAACAACAAAGTGAGTATTCTTAACATATTATCTGTGCATAGAAATTGTATTATTGTGAAAGGATAACATAACCAAAAAAGTGACAAGTTCATATTTGTTTTTATTGGCGTCAACGAATTACCTGTATTCCAGTATTAATTTTATTGTCCTTGTAGGATGTCTGACTCAGATGGAAACTCCTCAGACGCCTCAGGCTCTGGGTCCCATGTATCAAATAGATCACGTAGATCAAGGGGTAGCAACAGGAGCAGATCAGTTAGCAAGTCAGTATCCAGGTCAAGAAGTAGATCTCAATCAAGGTCCAAAAGTAGATCCCGCTCTAGGTCTAGAAGCAGATCAAGATCCAAATCTGGCAGTCGGTCTGGGTAAGTTGTAAATACATAATTTACTGAATAAGTTATTAATAATGTTCATTTGCACAATATAGTTCTGAGGCCAGAGAAGGCTCTGAACCAGATGTGGGAGATGAAGAGGAGCCTGATGGTGATTCTCTCCATGACTCTGAGGAATATGATAGTGAGGAAGATGACAGTGATGATGGCAGAGGTAGAAAAAAGAAGAAGAAGGACAGATTCAGAGGTTTCATCATTGATGAAGCTGAGGTTGATGATGAAGTAGAAGATGAGGATGAATGGGAAGAGGGTGCCCAAGAAATCGGAATTGTTAACAATGAAATTGATGAATTGGGACCAACAGCTAGGGACATTGAAGGAAGGCGTAGGGGTACCAATATGTGGGAGTAAGTCTAAAAATCTATAATTTTTATTAAATAACTAATGTACTAATAATTATTATAATTTCAGCACACAGAAGGAACATGAAATTGAGGAATATTTAAGGAAAAAATATGCAGATGATAGTGTCCCAGCCAGGCATTTTGGTGATGGAGGTGAAGAAATGTCAGATGAAATAACCCAACAGACATTGCTGCCAGGAGTAAAGTAAGTGTTCATGTTTATTTTTCAATGGAACATTTAAAGTAACACAATCTGCTCTTTTAGGGATCCTAATTTGTGGATGGTAAAATGTAAGATCGGAGAAGAAAAATCTACCGTTTTACTGCTGATGCGTAAGTTTTTGGTTTACCAAAACAATAACGAACCTTTGCAAATAAAATCTGTCGTTGCTCCTGAGGGAGTGAAGGGTTACGTGTATATAGAAGCGTACAAGCAACCTCATGTTAAAAACGCGATTGAAAATGTTGGAAATCTACGTGGAGGCATTTGGAAGCAGCAAATGGTACCGATCAAAGAGATGACAGATGTTTTGCGCGTTGTCAAAGAGCAAGCTGGTTTGAAATCTAAACAATGGGTTCGTCTACGAAGAGGTCTTTATAAAGATGACATCGCTCAAGTCGATTATTTCGATATGGCTCAAAATCAAGTACATCTTAAACTGCTGCCACGCATTGACTACACGAAACTCAGAGGAGCATTGCGAACAACGCAAACAGAATCAGATTCTTTAAAAAGAAAGAAGGCTCGCAGGCCGCCAAGCAAACATTTCGATCCGGAAGCAATTAGGGCTATTGGAGGTGAAGTCACATCAGATGGTGACTTCCTTATATTCGAGGGAAACCGTTACTCTCGTAAGGGATTCCTTTACAAGAACTTTACACTGAGCGCAATCATGGCTGACGGAGTAAAACCGACTATCGAAGAACTCAGCAAATTTGAGGAACAGCCAGAAGGAATTGATTTGGAGTTGTCCTCTGAAAAAGAAGATAAATCGTTACCACACAGTTTCAGTGCTGGTGATAATGTTGAAGTATGCGAGGGTGAATTGACTCATCTGCAAGGCAAAATTTTAACTATTGACGGAAGCTTGATAACATTGATGCCCAAACATGCTGAATTGACGAGCCCCCTTCAATTCCCAGCTAATGAGTTACGAAAATACTTCAAGATGGGTGATCACGTGAAAGTACTTGCTGGACGTTACGAGGGTGATACCGGCCTGGTAGTTCGTGTGGAGCAAAATCGTGTCGTTTTAATCTCTGATTTAACTATGCACGAAATGGAAATTCTGCCCAAGGACTTGCAGCTTTGTACCGATATGGCTAGTGGTGTAGATTCTCTCGGTAAATTCGAATGGGGAGATTTAGTTAATTTGGATTCGGAAACTGTCGGTGTTATTGTTAGATTAGAAAGGGAAAATTTCCATGTTCTTAACATGCATTGTAAGTATATCGATATTTGTTAAACTTTAATATCAGTGTATTAATTTGTTGCTTTTATTTATAGGCAAAGTCGTCGAATGTAGACCCAGCTCGCTTCAAAAACGTCGTTTGAATCGTTTTACCGCAGCGTTGGACGCTTATCGCAATAATTTACACAGAAAGGATATTGCTAAAGTAATTGATGGTCCGCATTCTGGTTTCTCAGGAGAAATCAAACATTTATACAGAAATTACGCCTTCTTGCATTCTTTGGAATTTTTACAAAACGGTGGTATATTCGTATGTAAAACGAAACATCTTTTCCTCTCCGGAGGTAACAAAAATGGACCCAACGCCGAAATTTCAAATGGTATGGAATTTATGTCACCGAGAAGGCAATCGCCGATGCATCCATCCAGCGGTGGTGGTGGTGGTGGAATGAGCGAGCGAAGCAACGGTGGTGGTGGTGGTGGTGGAGGACGAGGAGGCAGAGGTGGCTTCAGAGGAAGCGGTCGTGGACGTGGTGGTGGTCGCAGTCAGAAGGATCGTGACCTCATCGGCACCACAATCAAAATCATCAAAGGACCGTTCAAGGGCAGCATCGGTATCGTCAAGGATGCCAAAGAAAGCAGCGCTCGTATCGAGCTTCACACGAATTGCCAGACCATCTCGGTCGACAAGAAGCACATCCAAGATGTCGGTGCCCCAAACAAAGATCATTCTGCATCTTCGTACTCTCGTACTCCAGCATATGCCGGCTCACAGACGCCTCTGTACAGAGATACTGGCAGCAAGACACCGCTCTGCGATTCTGGTTCCCGTACCCCTTTGCATTATGGTTCGATGACGCCGCTGCACGATGGTTCCAGAACTCCCAACGCCAGCTCCGAATGGGATCCTTCCGTATCGAATGCATATCCATCACCGGGTTACAATCCCAGCACGCCTGGCTATCAGATGAATTCATCTTTTACGCCTCAGACGCCTGGAACCATGTACGATGCGACCTACAGCCCATATCAACCGAGTCCTGGATATCAGAGCGTCGTCTCTACGCCGAGCCCAGCAACCGGTTACGGTCAATCTCCAGCAAGCAATCATCCTTACAGCACTCCGAGTTCTGGCTACAGTCCCAACATGCCAAATAATCCTCAAACACCTGGAGCCGGACTTGACGTATTCCCGATGACCGATTGGCACACGGTGGATATTGTTGTTCGCATTAGGGATAGCCACGACGATGCTGGCTTAGCTGGTCAGACTGGAGTTATTCGCAGCATTAGTGGCGCAATGTCTTCGGTATTTCTACCAGATGAAGATAGAACGGTCAACATCATGTGCGACCACTTGGACCCGGTGCAGCCGCAGCAGGGAGACTTATTTAAGGTGATCATCGGAGAAGATCGCGAAGCTACTGGAAAATTGCTCTCCATTGATTCCAACATTGGTGTCGTTGACATTAGAGGAAAGATAGACATGATGTCTCTTAATAATCTGTGCAAGATTCTTAATACATAGGTTTACAATTTATAATTCACAGCTACTAGCTACACGTTTATATATATATATGTACTATCGTAATTACTTACTTTATTTGTTGCAAATAATATTTTATGTTTAGATTTTTAGCCTTTCCTTTTAATATATATATATAAACACAAAAAATGTTCAGAATATTATATTATTTTTCGTACTATTATATAAAGTATATATATATATGAAATGGGTTTATTGTTATACTAAAGTTGAATTCAGAATTATAAGAATAAAATCCGCTAGTTTAATTAATCATATTTTATTTATTATTGATTCTCCAAAACTGTTTTTCAACATTTTAAATAACGATGAGGTTTGAATGGATTCTTTAAAAAAAATATAATGCGAGCAACGAACATAATCACGAATGTTGGCGATTTTAAGAAGAGAAAGTTTAAAACTTTTCTATTTGCATTGGTTTAATGCTAGGTATCCTTGAACTTCCTTATCCTGGCTATCCACGACCCTTCCTGTCATGTTGTGTTGCCTAAGTAAAGTGCATAAGGATGTTAAGTGTAGATGGCATTCATTTTACTAAACCTATTAAAAACATTAAGTGCTGTGCACGATTATTGTTCACATATTAGTTCGTTGGATGTGTAAAACTTAAGAAATAGTTGGTCGGTGAAAAGTTATGAATTGAGCTGAATTAAGTTTGGGTGGGGATAAGTGATTTACATCCCGAAATGTCAGCCATATTGTGTGTAATGGCAATGATAGTGTGTTAGTGCGGCTCCTAAGGATTGCATCGTGTATATGTGATGTAGATACGCGTGTGTGCGTGAATGTGTTGAGGTGATATTATGGCCGCTGTCAGATCTGTGGGGTTTTCGTGAGCCGTGTTAGAAACATTTTCCTTGTGTGATTTCCTCGCCTGGCTCCAACCTCCAAGCCATGGACGAGACGAAGGTGATCTATCACATCGACGACGAGGAGACGCCGTATCTGGTGAAAATTCCCATTTCCCCAGACAAGGTGACGCTGGCCGACTTCAAAAATGTCCTCAACAGACCCAACTACAAGTTCTTCTTTAAGTCGATGGACGACGATTTCGGGTAACACTCCTCACTCAATTAACAACATAAACGAAGACACCGTCCATCTATCTCGATTCTCTGACGACGACATTATCAGTTCGTTTGCGAACCTTTTGCACAGCGAGTGGTCCTTATCGTCAGGAGCACCCCTCCCAAAATTTCCAAAATAATGTGCCACTGTTTGCATGTATTTGTCATTTTCCAATGTTTCCCAATTCATATTTCTCTTCTCAGCCAGGAAGAGATCTGTGGCAACCAAATATCTATATATGGTTACTAGAACATGTTCCAAACAAAGAAACCATCAACAATTTCCATTTCTAATAAAGTGCATACTGAAAGTATCCAATTCCTCAATACATCAAAAACAATGCACTACAACTATATGGATTGAGCAAAGCCTATTTCTCAGGCAATTAACACCTCTTCCACTCATAGAAATGAAAGTTTTCTCACCATTCTGTTCTCGAGTAGTGCTTTGCAATTTATTTTTTCACTATCAATACATTTACATTATATAAGTAATTCTGTATGTGACATTCAAAATCTGTTCCTTTACACCTCCATTTCTTGAAAGTACATTCACATGTTATTAACATTCTTTAATATATTTATTTACAGTGTGGTCAAGGAGGAAATTATTGAGGATACTGCTCATTTGCCATGTTTCAATGGGAGAGTTGTCAGTTGGGTATGTTAAACATATTTATTTGTAGAGCAACTACTTGATATTATTATTATATTTAACATGTAAAAATTACTTGAGTTATAGTATTTGAGTGACAATTTTTAAGAAGTAAACACTTTTAAAGATTTTAATTGATCTAATCTGAGATATAGTCAAATATCCTGATTTGTAGTAACTAGCTGTACACATGAGTCGCATGAAATGTTTGTGCTCAACAGATGTTATATAATTTCGGCTATTGATTAGGGGTTTGCTTTAATAGCTATTTGTCTCTGATTTTATTCTCTTTCAATGGCATGTTTCAGTTGGTGTCGGCGGAAGGATCGAACCAATCGGACGGCGGTTCACAGTGCACCGATTCAGTGACGCACCAATCTGAGCAGAGGATGCCGCCGCAACCACCGGAATCAGTCTGTACGGACACCGAAAGTATAATCAGTTCGAGACAAGGCCGAAGACATCACAAATACTCGTCACGGCTCAACGGGCATATGCCGCGCCTCTACGAGACAGCCTCCATCGTCAGTTCGGACCTGGAGAGCACCAGTTTCCAGTCGGAGACCACAGGTCGACATACTGCCTTATCAGAATGCTCGAGCGTAAGTCGTCTGCACGTTGCCGCAAGAAAACGGCCGCAACGCCGAAGAAAGCAAAGATTGCAGGTATGAACATTAACAACTTAATTTACACTGAAACTTATTGATGCTAACAATGATTGTTTGGATTTAAGGCCATGTCCAGGACGAGCTCGTATTCGAGCATAACCGATTCCACAATGTCCCTGAACATAATAACGGTGACACTGAACATGGACACCGTCAACTTTTTGGGTATCTCTATAGTTGGGCAAAGCAATAAAGGAGGAGATGGGGGCATCTACGTTGGATCCATCATGAAAGGGTACTTTGAGTTAATTGATTCATTTTTGTATTCATGCTTTATATTATTTTTCATGTTCTAGTGGTGCTGTAGCTTTAGATGGGAGAATCGAACCCGGTGACATGATTCTGCAAGTGAACGACGTGAATTTCGAGAACATGTCCAATGACGAAGCGGTCCGAGTGTTAAGAGAAGTAGTGCAAAAACCAGGGCCTATAAAGTTGGTGGTCGCTAAATGCTGGGATCCAAACCCAAAAGGGTACTTTACAATTCCACGGACCGAACCAGTGAGACCGATCGATCCAGGTATGTCCTGAATTCTCATCCAGCAAACAAAAACATATCTTTAATTGTGATTCTGATCTGCAGGTGCATGGGTTGCGCACACGGCTGCAGTTAGAGGAGACCCAGTCGCACGACCTCCCAGCAGCAGCACCGTCTCCAGTGCTTCGATTGCCAGTACCATACCAGCTAATGAACGTGAGTGTCTTCTAGGTCATGGTACGTTGCACACTGCTTTTATTATTTTTTAGTTTATTTTTGTTCAAACGTTAAAACTATCGTTACCTAACGATTCATTAGAATAACAGCGACTTACAAACTTTGTGAAAACGTTTTTATTATAATGGGATTTCTAATGTAAGTCGTATCTGCTTTATTTCTTCATATCGAAATCACCAATTTTTCTCTTTGGCGCACGCTCTTTTACTACATCGCACAATGTTTTTCGGAATGTGTTTGAGACATTTACATTCGTCTTCATCATTGTTTCATTTTTGATTATATTTCATTTGCGTATTTGCACAACACTTTATTGTTATTTATTCTGCATCGAAAGGCTAAAACTTCATTGCCTTGTGCATTAATTAAATAAAGGAATTTATATCATGAAAAATGCAAACACTTTTTAAATGATGAGTCGTTTATTTTATTTAGTATTTGTATCTGTTTGTAGATATGGAAGAACCGCTGAGTGTGTCAGCTCCGATGCACAGCATCGTCCAGGCGATGCAACGGGCTGACAGCGGTCTCGAGATTCGGGATAGGATGTGGTTGAAGATAACCATTCCGAACGCGTTTATCGGCACAGATATGATCGATTGGCTGCTTACCCACGTGGAGGGCTTCCAAGACAGACGCGACGCCAGGAAGTATGCCTCGCACCTGCTGAAGTCCGGCTTCATCCGACACACCGTGAACAAGATCACGTTCTCCGAGCAGTGTTACTACATCTTTGGCGATCTCTGCTCGGCAATGAGCAACATGAAGATCCAGGGAGACACTGACTCCGTGGGTCCACTTCCAAACGTCCCCAACTACATGCCGTACAGCGGCACTTACAATCCTCTGGAGTACATGCCGATGCCATTCTACACTGCCAGCGAGAATACAGTCTACGGTTACAATCGTGAGGAGAGCGTGCTCAGCGGAAGCGGTAGTAATTTCAGTTTCGACTTTTGCCACCCAAGCTCACGGCCACTCACCGCCCTCACCGTTGTTTCAGGTGGATCCTCGAACGGTTCTGAGCACCTGAAGGATGCGGCCGCCGCTCACAGCAGCGCCTCCGACAGCGACCTGACATCCTTGGGGCCCAGATCGGCGCTGCAGATCGCCACAGGAAACGGAAACGGATCCTCGAACGGTTCCGACCAAAGCAGCGGCACCCAAGTCGCAGCGCAGTCGAAGGACATAGCCGGTAGTAGACAGTCATTTAAGATAGCTATGGGCAATCCATGTGAAATGTTTGTTGACGTTGTGTTGTAGTTTGTTGAACGGCCTATTATTTGATTTTACTTATTATTATTATTTTGTTGCATTTATTTCTGTTTGTAGTGTTGTCAGTCACTATGACTCTTATTATTTTTTTGTAGAGCACTAATTTGTAGTTACTTTATTTTAATGTTAAAACGACAATATTTTAGTCAAATCGGATATTAATTCTTAATCCACGCTGTAAGAGGCGTGCTTCTTTATAGAGTTCAAATTAAAAGCACGCCCCTTCCGCGTCTCTATTTATTACTGTGTGTATATATAGATGTAAAATAGTCTTATTTTAGCCTGTAACTGAGGGTAAAGTAATAAGAAACGTGCCATACGCCGTTTACAGTTCGTAGCTTTAGTAACGACAAAAAAACATGCCAATTCGATTAACAAATGTAAATATTTACTAGATTTACGTTCTCTTCCATTACTCTGTGAACATATTATAGTTTGTTTTTATATACATATGATTTTATTTATTATTTTTAAGGCATATTACTTTTGTGCATGGATTTCTCAGCATGCCCAATAAATATGTACTCGAAGCATTCAAATTGTATTTGTTGTTGATGTTGTCGTAACTTGCATGGTCTTCGTTTTCGCCTGTAGAATTTTATAGATTGCCCATCTCAGAACAGAACATCCGAAAGAAGAAGGAAAAACAACAAAAAGAACATTTTCCTTCTTCTTTTTTTCTTTCTTGTCTCACGAATTTATTATTTTACGTTGCTTCAAATTTTTTTTAATCGTTTTGTGGTTTCTTTTGTATTTTCAGTTTTAAGTTACCTATAGTGCAATATCATTTCATCAGTACAATTAATTTGCAAGTAATTTTATCCGTTTTACGACGACAAAAAGGTAAGTCGCTGAACTCGATAATATCGATTTTTTTTACTTTCTCTCACTGCTTCTTAGCGTTTCCCTACGCCGATTTTATTTTACTGTAGATCGATCGATCCAGTTGTTGTTCGCTTACGTTTTTTTCTTATCGTTGCAGAACCAGCAGGAATTTTGGGCTACCAATTTGCCCAAACATAGATAACTCCTGGTGCGTTGGAGTGAGAAAACGTATGTCATCGAAACAGCCAAATTAACTTAAAAACAAACAAACAAACACAGACACACAATGCCGACAAGTATACTATATTTACATTTTAGAGATGAGATAATGAAGAAGATGGAGAAAAGAATGAAACGTCATAGATTTGAATAATTTTTGTATTTGCTTCGAGGATAATATAAATGTTAATAATTTTAAGTATAATTAATTGTACAGCAAAATATTTTTGTTTCCCAATGGAAGAAGAAAATGGAGAAAAAAAATAATAAGAGAGAGAGAGAGAGAAATCGACATAAAACACACAGCATTTCCCGTGATTGATATCATACGAATCGTCAGGTATAAATCTATTATAATATATATATATATAAAATTTTTATATAAATTTGTGCGAATGGAAAATAATGTTTGTCATATATTAGATGTGGATTCTACTATTTCCGTTCTAATATTTATGCTATACGAAATGTTGACATTTAAACTTTAATTAACTCTTTTATTACTTAATTGTATTACTATTATTTTTCTTTTGTTCAATACAATTCCAATGCGAGTCAATTGAAATTGATTTTTCTTTTCGTTTTCGTCGTGGAACTCCATCAAATATTTGTTACAACTATCTCCTACTAAATGTGTGTGTATATACATATATATATATAATTTAGCACTCTGAATGTAACTCTTCATTTTTTTACCAGTACGAAAACGCAATAATTTTCTTTTGTACATATTATTTTTCTTTTTATATAAATATATAGAGAGAGATATATTTTATACGCTCTAGCTTCTATTATTTTATTTTTGTTTCTTTTTATTTGACTTTATATATAATTTTTTTTTTATTAAGTGTACATATAAATATCCTTTATTTATTTTTTAAATTCTTTGTTTTCTTTTCTTTCGATCTCTTTGTTTCTTATATTTATAAGGAATACGTAAAATTTGAGAAAAAAAAAATGTTAGCTTAATAAACAGGGTATTTGAATCAATGTATTGTACTTCCATCTTATAACGAAAAATACAAATAAAATAATAACAATAAACCCTCTGTATATAAATATATATATATATACAAATTTTGCTCTTCGCAATTAAATTGTATCCCTGTATAAAATTGTTCAATAACAACTGTAGATATTTGTTTTATAACTAATCAAAAAAAACATTAATTGATTACCATTAAGATTACTGAAAAACCATTAGCAAATTTAATATTATTTGCAGAAATATAAAGAGAATTATTTAAAATTAAATAATGAAGTTTATTTGAATTGTTTTCAATGTTGGCAAGACAATTGCCAACATAACAAACTTGATTAGCATATGTCAAAGTCATTTGTTTATATTATTCTGTTTATTTTAGGTTAGGTTATAATTTTTTTCTGTGTAAGAATGTTCTAAGTATTTGTTAAAATGTCGTTGAAGAAATACACCAGGATGTGCTTGTGGAATTCGTGCTTTATGCTGGGCATCATAATTGGCATGTTTTTGAACCTGAGCATTACAGACTTTGAGTGTACCAATTATCTGCTCGAGCACAGAAGAGTGGATTTCAATTATTCAACAATAAAAACGGTATGGGTAACGAATGTAACAAGGAAATCCACAAAGAAACCGACCCAATTGATCAGGCCAAGATACTATTCAACTGAGCTTGGTATCAAAGAGAAACTGTTCATTGGTGTTTTGACTTCTGAGGAGAAAATAACTTCATTGGCTGTACACGTGAACAAGACTGTAAATCATTTAGTTGATAAAGTGAAGTTCTTCATAACAGCTCAACATAAGATTAAAAGGAAGTTCAATTATAGTGGATTAGTTGGCTTCACAGATACCAGAAATAGGTACAGACCATTCCAAATAATCAAATATATAGGAGATAACTACTTGCAGGATTATGACTATTACTTCCTTATGAATGATTATGACTATCTCAATGCTAGGAAACTGAAAGAAACTGTTGAAGGCATTAGTGTCAGCATGAATGTTTATATGGGGAATCCAGTCCATGGTTCTAGCTATTGCAATTTAGGTATTAACATTACAATTGCAAAATTAATGAAGAAAATGTACAAATGTAATTTATATTTTTTAGATTCAGGCATTTTGCTCAGCAATTCAGTTTTGGGTGCGATGATGGAACACCTGGATTGGTGTGTCATGAATGCAGTAACGGATAACCATAGCCAAAACATTGGCAGATGTGTTTATTATAGCACAAAGTTAGAATGTCAGAAGGAAATTCAGGTTTTACCAAATTAGTTTTGAATATATACAAATAGTAACATCATTTATTTTTGCTAGGGTCAAAAGTTACCTTCATACGAGTTAAAACGATTTGTGCTTACTGATAATATGCACAGATTGACTAAGGAAAAGGAGTTCAATGAAGCGGTTACAGTGTTCCCGTTGATTCAAGGCCACGATCATCACTTACTCCACAGTTATTATTCAAAGGTTGATTATAACATACTTGTTTTTTTTTGGTTAATTATATGATGTATGTTTTTAGGAGAGATTGGTGGCATTACGAAAGGAAATTATCGAGTTGGAGGCGGGACTTCCGGAGGATTGGCCGGCCGGAGAGAGGAAAGGTGCTATTCCAGCAACGAGATTCGATTTACCCAAACAATATTATTTCAATACAACTCATATGTTCTTTCCCGACGATTCAACGATTATTAGAAAACACACTAAAGGAGATTCAGAAGATATCAATGTAAGTATTTACTACATTTATAATATCTATTTCTTATATTTGTCCATATTGTAGAGCGTTATATCGCACGTTAAAGCGAAAGTGGAACATTTGCATTCCGGAAAGTACCAATTTCGTCGTTTGGTCAATGGCTACAGAAGCTTTGATCTGAGTAGAGGCATGGATTACAAACTGGATATCGGATTTAGGGACTTGTTTACGGGAAAGGAAGTTATTAAAAGGTTTGAAGTTTGCAAACCTCTTGGTAATGTGGAGTTCATTCCGGCGCCGTACGTAACCGAGAATAACCGAGTTACGCTGTTGCTTCCAGTGGAAGAAACGGAAACGGAGCAGGTGAAAAAGTTCATTGATTGTTATTCTAAGACTATAATGGAGAGACGCGAGAAAACTCTGCTGATGTTGGTTTTCCTGTACCAAGCGAATACGACGAGTAAAGGTAAAGAGGACGTTTTCGGAGAGATCAAAGAAATCGCAGTAAGATTGAGCAACAAGTACAAGAGCGAGGATACTAAAATCGCGTGGGTCAGCATTAGATTGCCGCAGAGTGAAGATTTCATCGACTTGGCGAATTACGGATCGCTCAATTTCGCGTTAATCGATTTGGCTCTGAAGAAGATTGGTCTGGATAGTTTGATTCTGATTGTGGATGCGTACAGCGAGTTCACGTATGATTTCCTGAACAGAGTAATGCTTTTATAAATAAGTGCGCATTCGTGATTAATAATTGACGTTGTTTTAGGTACGCATGAACACCATAGGAAATTTTCAGATTTTCAGTCCGATCCCGTTCAGGTTTTATAACCCGACGGTCACGCAGATGCAAGGAAAGGAGCTGCACAAGAACGCTGGTCATTTTGACAATCAAGAGTACAGATATCTTTCCTTTTACGCCAAAGATTATGTTTTCGGTAAGTTTTTTCTTAATGGTTTTCATTATACTTAACAATTTTGATTACAGCTAGAAAACAGTCAAAGCATTTGATTCCTTTGATCAGGGTGGACAACGACACCGCCAGTGTCTTGACTGAAGAGACGAAACATTTCAGTAATGTGTTCGAAATGTTCGTTAAATTCTCCGCTCAAGAGGTGCATTGTCTTCGAGCGCCTGAAATATCTCTGAAAGTCATGTACCACGAAGAGCCGGACGAGAGCAAAGGGAACTGGTTCATGGGCACTCAGGCTCAATTATCCAAATTGGTTCTGCAGAAAGCTGAGGAGCTCCAACTGGACAATTACAAAAACGATTGATTGGCATTTACCAATAATCCGTGCAATTATTAGCTATTAAGTGTATATCTTCCATGCGGTTTAGAGGTCTCACTGCCATCAAACTATTAATCTTTCTTTACCTTATTTAACTAGTTTCTGTGTTCAGACGATGCAATTAACCAAACCGTTAAGTGATAATATTTGTGCCTTCTTAAAATAAGTGCCAAACAAATAAATATTTACTTTTTAGTAATATGTATTTTAGTGTAGCATTTATATAGTATACATATTTAAACGACTGAAATAAGTTTCAATTAAGTTATATGGATTTAAATAATGTTGCAATTATTTTTCTTTCACGAGTTGCTTTTATTAGAATTATATTTGTTTTGTTTTTTTAAATACAGCTTTGAATGTTATATACTTAAAAAATAATTTTATTGATTTTTCTCTCTTTTTACATACATTGGTTCATTCTTTTATTTATACAATATATTTATATAACAAAGAAAATAGGTATGTAATCATTATAATAAAAACTTTATACACTCTTCATTATATCAAAAGTCATAAATCACTTGGCTCACAACATTTTACCTATATTCAGTATACATCTGTAACAGAAACAATACATTATAATTATAATTAAATATAATTTGTTAAATAACGTATACACTATTGATAAGTTAATAAAATTATAACTCACCAATTTCAGGTTAATCGGAATCAGAACCGGATTCCGATAAGCAAAGATCGTCGTTCAAGAGAGTAATGGGCATGGACATTTGATTGGTATGTTTGGCTGGCGGCGGAGTTGGATTGGGCGGAAGTGCTAAGCCCCTGCCGACTTGCCCATGGCCGTTACTCCTGGAAATAGGGGGCTTAACAGTCTTGCTCTCAGGTGCGGAATCGTGATCGGAATCGGAGTCACTGGATGAGTCGCTCGACGAACTGTCCGAAATCTCGCCGATCGCATCACCGTTCATCTCATTGTCGGAGTGACTATTGAAAACGCTCGAGAACGTCCCGTTCTGCGAGGTCGCTACTGGTGCCGGTGGTGGAGGTGCTGGAGCAGGAACGGGATCGCTGAAATCTTCCATCCCAATCATCGGAAGACTTGCGAGGGCGCTCTGCGAATGAGACTCGTCCCTGTCCCTCTTCGGGGATTTGTGACCCGGCGATGGGTACTGAGGATTAGGGCTCGCGTGAAGAGGAGAATGTTTAGGCAGATGTGTAATTTGCGTGATCTGTCTGTCGGCTCTACGACTACCGCTGGTCACTCGAGTCTTGTTCGATTGCCTCTGGCCTATGGGCGGCGTCTGCGGACGAGCAGAAGTCAACGATCTCTCAGCAATTCTATCTTGAGGCAACTGTGATTTCGCTGATTCGAACCTAGTCTTCTTAAGCTGTATATTGCTTGTCAACTTCTCCAGCGTTATCTCGCCCGTCACTCTATCTATTATCAACACACATTCTTTGTGGAAAGGCCGCTGGGATCCCTTAAATACTGTTTGAGGTACAACAGCTTCATCTAAAATTAATTCTCATATTATTATATAACATACTTAAATACATAACTTGATATCTCTTTTACATCTTGCACATTCTAAACAATTGAGACTAACTGTAATTATTTAAAAAACGCGAAAGACTGACCAAATTTATATATCCTCTATACTAAGTTCTAATCTTATCTAAATTGTGACAATCAATTGGATGAAACATGAGTTTGGATAAACAAATACATTGATATTATGATTAAAAGAACTTACCTAAATGTGGTACAGTAACTGTGACTTGGTTTCCACTTCCCACATCAACAGTGGCAATTTTATTAAGATCTACGGATGCAGGTTTGAAGTCATCTGGAAATCATCAAAACACAATTTTCTTAGTCATCATCTTCGAGGAAATTTCCCTTATGAATACTTACATCTGATGGCATGCAGAGCTCCAGCTTTAGGATTCGTGAAGGACTGTCCAATTTTCAATTCCCTGACCTCTGTACCCAATCTTAGTTTGTCAGCCATGGCTCCTACTCTATTTCAAACACAGGCAAATTGAAATAACCGAAAAATAAAAGTTTGTGTAGCCAAATAATGGATGGAATTAATTGTTTCCCATTGTACAGACATGCAGACTTGTTGGAAAACAACTGAAAACCAAAGAGAAAGAGACATTAGATAAGATTTTTCCAGATGGAAAATTTTCGCTTAATTATTATTATTAATTTATTTTTGCTTGCACATCAGCTGGCCAGATTTCTATGCAATGCACACACACACAAACAGCAGTCTCTTTCACTTTTTTCATAGCCCAAAGGTTATGTGTTCTGATGATGGACTTTTCTATTTTTTTTTTTTTTCGCAGTTGCTAGGGCCAAATTCGAACGGAACTTTGGAAGCAGGAAACGTGGTTTAGGTTGGAACGGAAGTTCCGGTACTCACGCGTTCCGTCTGCTTGGTTATTTTCGGAAATTCCACTGGTATTCCCTCAACATATGAGTATAGCTAGTGCAGCTAGTGGCCAGCACACATACACACATCCATTCTTACACACATTCACACGCACAAACACACACACATCCATGCACACCTATTGAAAATTGTAATTTATTGACCTACTTTTGCGCTTCACTTTTTACAGTTTATGCGGACGAACTGCTGTACTACTCGAAGAGACTTGAAGATTCCTTTACTGAACTGACCGATCGTAGAACACTGTAAATTTGGAATGGTAGCAGGGTAGCAAGCTACGTGTTATAAATACAGCCCTTAAAGGGAGGGGCGCAGGTCGCACCAGCGTTTGCGCACTAGCAAATTTCCCTTTTCAAGTAAACTACAAAATATACCTGAATAGGTATAGGTATAGGTACCTTAAAATATTATTAATTCTCTGTACGAAGTAATAAAACTTAATTTTCCGAGAAGTGCGTAATAAACATTTTCTTAATTACAATAGATAAATTATAATTTTAAATGCTATGCAAAAATTTAACATTTTTATTAATTCTTGTAACATTTGTTCATTAATTAATGAAAGTTATTAATAGATAAAGTTTCAATTTTATTTAATTTCAACCATATAATAAATATTCTGTATAAAGTAAATATAATTAATATTTTGCGATATTCAAATACAATTAATATCGCATATAAAAAACATTAAATGATTCTTATTATTATTAAAAAACAAAATTGTAAACTTAAACTCATTTGCCGTGTAGTTTTTTTTTTCGTTCCTACTTCATCCCTAATTCTAAGAACTATTGTTACTGAACATTTGTTCATTAATTAATGAAAATTATTAATAGATAAAGTTTCAATTTTATTTAATTTCAACCATATTCTGCATAAAGTAAATATAATTAATATTTTGCGATATTCAAATACAATTAATATCGCATATAAAAAAAAATTAAATAATTATTATTATTACAAAACAAAATTGTAAACTTAAACTCATTTGCCGTGTAGTTTTTTTTTTCGTTCCTGCTTCATCCCTAATTCTAAGAATTATTGTTACTGAACATTTGTTCATTAATTAATGAAAATTATTAATAGATAAAGTTTCAATTTTATTTAATTTTAACCATATAATAAATATTCTGTATAAAGAAATATAATTAATATTTTGCGATATTCAAATACAATTAATATCGCATACAAAAAAACATTAAATAATTATTATTATTACAAAACAAAATTGTAAACTTAAACTTATTTGCCGTGTAGTTTTTTTTTCGTTCTTACTTCATCCCTAATTCTAAGATCTATTGTTACTGAACATTTGTTCATTAATTAATGAAAATTATTAATAGATAAAGTTTCAATTTTATTTAATTTCAACCATATAATAAATATTCTTTATAAAGTAAATATAATTAATATTTTGCGACATTCAAATACAATTAATATCGCATATAAAAAACATTAAATAATTATTATTACAAAACAAAATTGTAAACTTAAACTCATTTGCCATGTAGTTTTTTTTTTTGTTCTTACTTCATCCTTAATTCTAAGAACTATTGTTACTGAACATTTGTTCATTAATTAATGAAAGTTATTAATAGATAAAGTTTTAATTTTATTTATTTTCAACCATATAATAAATATTCTGTATAAAGAAATATAATTAATATTTTGCGATATTCAAATACAATTAATATCGCATATAAAAAATATTAAATGATTCTTATTATTATTACAAAACAAAATTGTAAACTTAAACTCATTTGCCGTGTAGTTTTTTTTTTCGTTCTTACTTCATCCCTAATTCTAAGAACTATTGTTGTTACTGAAATGTGAAGACTATTGTAAGGTAAACCTATGCTTCCATAAGGTTTTCCAAGTAAACTACAAAATATACCTGAATAGGTATAGGTACCATAAAATATTATTAAGGAAGTAATGAAACTTAATTTTCCGAGAAGTGCATAATAAACATTTTCTTAATAATAATTTTAAAAACTATGCAAAAATTTAACATTTTTATTAATTCTTGTAACATTTGTTCATTAATTAATGAAAGTTATTAATAAATAAAGTTTCAATTTTATTTAATTTCAACCATATAATAAATATTCTGTATAAAGTAAATATAATTAATATTTCAAATACAATTAATATCGCATATAAAAAATATTAAGTGATTATTATTATTAAAAAACAAAATTGTAAACTTAAACTCATTTGCCATTTAGTTTTTTCTTTCTTACTTCATCCCTAATTCTAAGAACTATTATTGTTACTGAAATGTGAAGACCGTTGTAAGGTAAACCTATGCTTCGGTAAGGTTGTTCAAGTAAACAACAAAATATACCTGAATAGGTACCATACAATATTATTAAGTCTATGTACGAAGTAATGAAACTTAATTTTCCGAGAAGTGCATAATAATTATTTTAAAAGCTATGCAAAAAATTAATGAAAGTTATTAATAGATAAAGTTTCAATTTTATTTAATTTCAACCATATAATAAATATTCTGTATAAAGTATATATAATTAATATTTTGCGACATTCAAATACAATTAATATCGCATATAAAAAATATTAAATGATTATTATTATTACAAAACAAAATTGTAAACCTAAATTCATTTGCCGTGTAGTTTATTTTTTCGTTCTTACTTCATCCCTAATTCTAAGAACTATTATTGTTACTGAAATGTGAAGACCGTTGTAAGGTAAACCTATGCTTCGGTAAGGTTGTCCAAGTAAACAACAAAATATACCTGAATAGGTACCATACAATATTTTTAAGTCTATGTATGAAGTAATGAAAGTTAATTATTCCGAGAAGTGCATAATAAACATTTTCTTAATAATAATTTTGAAAGCTATGCAAAAATTTAACATTTTTATCAATTCTTGTAACATTTGTTCATTAATTAACGAAAGTTATTAATAGATAAAGTTTCAATTTTATTTAATTTCAACCATATAATAAATATTCTTTATAAAGTAAATATAATTAATATTTTGCGATATTCAAATACAATTAATATCGCATATAAAAAACATTAAATGATTATTATTATTGAAAAACAAAATTGTAAACTTAAACTCATTTGCCGTGTAGTTTTTTTTTTTGTTCCTACTTCATCCCTAATTCTAAGAACTATTGTTACTGAACATTTGTTCATTAATTAATGAAAATTATTAATAGATAAAGTTT